CTCTGCCAAACACCTGACCCCCTCACAGGGCAGCAGCCATTGTGCTGCAGTGAGAACATGGCAGGTGTTCGGTAAATGCTTGCTGAATTGAGGCATCCTTTTTTGGTCTTGATTAGAACAGAATTTTACTGCCAGATATTCCAGGTTTTAACATCACTTTCAGCCAGGGATACTCAATCCACATTCCTCCCCCTCCTCCCCAGGACATTGGGCAATGTCTGGAGACATGATTAGTTATCCCAGCAATGGGGGAAGGGCGGTGTGTTACTGGCTTCTAGTGGGCAGAGGCCAGGGATGCTGCCAATCATCTTGCAAAGCCACAGGAAGCCCCAAGCAAAGACTTACTATTGGCAGTTAGAGCTCACAATAGTGCTGAGATTGAGAAACCCTGCTCACCATTGGCCCTTCTCATAAGCTTGTTGAACACCCCAAATCCTTCCTGGCGTATTATGTACTGTCAGTTGATCACCATGGCATCTCTGGGAGACAGAGCACATCATTAAGTGTTTGGGTTTGAAGAGAAACTGGCGCTGTCTAGCAGACTTCAATGGTCAATCCGGGGGGACTCCAGCTCTCTGTTCGTGACCGCAAGGCTCTCTGGGTGGCATCAGACATATTTGGAGGAAGCAAAGGCGAGGACCTGAGCAATCTCCTGATTACTGTCCAGGCCAGTCATCACACATCACAGGATCAATGCCTGTCCTTGCTGGCATCCTCTGTGATGCTGATTAGGTTTCAGACTGTGTTAAGAAAATTGGGTTTTACAGCTAGTAGATTTTTCTAAAATTAAGTGCTCACATTCAAGAACACCTCCCCAAGTGGGAGGTGACTTTCAGTTGCATTATATTTAATTGAAGGCATTTCTCAGAAGAAATGGAATAATAAAGAGTATCACCTGAAGGTCTACTAACCAACCCCACAGCCAGGGGCTAAAATGAAAGGTTTCCAATGAAAAGGAAAGGAAGCACATTGCTCTCAACCCTGACTAGTCTTTAGTATTTTGCCTCCAGCACAAAGCATTTTACTGTTCATTATAATTTCTACATAAGCAGGGAACTGAAAACAGTTTAACTTGGTAGAAAAATGGTTTTTCTCAAACCAGAGACAACTAATATGATACTAAACATCAGAATTTTTATTAGTGAGAGGCATTTAGGAGTCAAACTTTTCTAATCTTAGATCATACTGGATAAGGTTTTAAAAATCTTTAAACCTATACAATTCAAGGTATCTTATAATTTTAAATTCAAAGTGCATTTCCTTCATGCAACAAATATCTTTAATATAGACTTATATTTTATTAGGCAAATACAGAGCCCTTCAAACAGCTTGAAGAGACAGTCTCTCTCTGAAGACAATTTCCCTTTCTAAGCATCTGTGTCATGGAGGTCTGAGTAAGTGTAGAGAATAGAGAAAACTGTGCAAAGAGCAACAAAATTATAAGAGAGAGGAATATCCTTTCATCTGGCATAATTCAAACCACTTGTTTAATAGCATTAATCATCTTCTTTCAAAACAAATCAAAGAACGTTGCTTTATACTTCCCAAAGACATTCGTTTTGGATGAGTCAAAGTGGCCTCCAAAATACCATAATCGCTCACTTTTCGAATTGGCGAATTTAACCAAGAACTAGCTTTTGTAATCGTCTATTCTTTTGGCTCAATAGAAAATTTTGTCTGAATCTGAACATCATAGACTGATGTTTAACCATCTTATAGAAGAATCTACGTAAGCAGGGAACTGAAAACAGTTTAACTTTGAAATTTTAGGGCCCAATTTAACAGGAAGTAAAGTGAACAAAAGAAAGATGGGTCTCTTAGAAGCTGCTGAAATTGAGGTTAGCACAGAAATGAAACAAGCTCACAGATGTATCGAGGTGTGAAAACTCATTGCTCAAGTACCAGGGGCAGAATGGTGATGTCAAACAAAGATCCTCAGTCACCCACCACCTCATCTGAGTTTTACAGACAAACTCAAATCCTCTCATTCTTCTTAAACTTACACTTTAATAATACAATCCTTACTGAAACAGAGGAAAATATATAACTTCAACCTACTAACAGAGAGAAAACACTCATTTCTTGCTGTTAATATCCAACACAGAGTTCCCTGTGATTCTCATTATTTCCTGTGAATGTTTCTATTCTGAGATATTTTCTCCATGGTAGCAATCAGAATAGAGATCACAAAACTGAAGTGCCTGTAGGGTTTAGGAAGGTAACACAAAGGGGTAAAGTGGGCTTAGAGGAGACTAGGGTGACTTGTAGAGATCAAACTCTGTCTAGAAAGAATGCCAGCTCTCAACTCAATGGCCAAAACACTGTTCCTGGCAGAAATGAGATTTCAGATCCTCAAATTTTCTTGAGTTTTTTTTTAAAGAATATTTTATTGATTTTTAGAGAAATATTGATGTGAGAGCCCAACATCAGTCAGCTGCTTCCTACACCTTCCCCTCTACCCCCTCCCCCCCGACACACACACAACACTGGGGATTTGAGCCCACGATCTGGACATCCAACTGACAACCCTTTAATGCACAGGATGGCGCCCAACCAACTGAGCAACTCCGGCCAGGGCCATAAGCATAAACTCTTAACTAAAAATTCCTAATTATTAAGCATTAGTAATTAATTTAAAGTTTTTTTCTCATGGCTCTAGAATTTTATTTTTTTATTGAATTTATTGGGGTGACATTGGTTAATGAAATTATACAGATTTTAGATGTACAGTTCTATAACAAATCATCTGTATATCGTATTCTGTGTTCACCACCTCCAAGTCAAGTCTCCTTCCATCATCATTTATCCCACTATGCCCTCCTCTACCTCCCCCCATCTTATCTACTAAGTCAAAAGTTTAAACAATACTTTGCTGGCTAAAGAAATCTTGCCCTGTGTGGCTGATTTCATCAGCCAATTTGCAACCTCAGTATTGGAAGAAAAAAGTAAGAAATGGCCAATCAAAGGATGTTATCAGGGTCCCACCCTTAAGTTGTTGGTGAATTCTTGGGTCTTTCTTTTTTAAAAAAAATATGTTTTTATTGATTTTTAGAGAGAGGAAGGGAAAGGGATAGATAGAAACTTCAATGAAAGAGAAACATCATTAATTGGGTACCTCCTGTACGTCTCCCACTGGAGATCTAGTCTGCAACCTGGTTATGTGCCCTGATTGGGAATCAAACCAGTGACCTTTTGGTTCCTACATGGACACTCAACCACTGAACTACACTGGCCGGGTTCTTGGGTCTTTCTTAATCATAAAGAACTTTTTCTACATATGTAATACTTTCAACAATAAAGAGTTATTAAAAAAAGAAAAGAACTTTTTCTAAAAGCACGACCACATCTAAAGTTCCTAACTTGAAATTTCAGGGCTTTTTAAGTTTCAAAACATTCTGTCAGACATAAAGAACTGCAGAGCAAGAAGCTTTCTGTGTCAGAGGAAGGGAACAGTGGTCAAACACTTAAGATTCTGGTAAACCTGCCTCTTAAAGATGTGTCACTGTCGTAACCAGCTAGCTAATATTAATAATAGTTAAGGAGCAAAGGGGAGGCCTGACATTATAAGCAAGGCCATCTGGGCAGCTTCACCAGGAAGCTGCAACTTCACACTCCCCAGGAACCACAGGTCCATGCCCTGCAGATCACTGGGGGGAGGGTCCAACAAAGTGGGGGTAGGCACGCATGTGCAGTGAAGTCTGGGTCACATAGGGAGGATGCTTGCCTGTCAGTCTGACCTGGGAATAAAGATAATTGCCTAGGGGGTGGAGCCACTGCAAGTGTGCGATATCTTGGAAGGTCAAATCCCCCAGGCAAAGGAGTTCTTGCTCTCTTGTTCCTTTCGCTTTGCTCCTGTTTCCTTACACTCACTGGTACTCCCTCCACAGCCAGGTGGCCCTAGAAGCTACATGGCCACCTGGACCCCACATACAATGGACTGCTGCTGGGAACACAGGCTAACCTGACCAGATGCTGGACTGGACGTTGCAAAAGGCAGCAGAAACTCTGGGCACTGGCTTTGATCCTAGTCCTGCTGAAGACGGAATGGGACTTTCCTATGGTGGGACAGCGGGAGTTGGGACCTTGGAAACTCAGGGGTTTAATTCCACAGAAATAAAGCTTCCCATAGACACCTCATCCTCCCTTGGGGGCGTCAGGAAACTGTTATTCAGCAGCACCCCAAGAAGCCCACTCAGGGGTTTAATTCCACAGAAATAAAGCTTTCCATAGACACCTCATCCTCCCGTGGGGGCTTCAGGAAATTCTTATTCCAGCGGCACCCCAAGAAGCCTACTTCCACTGACAACAGGTGGGGACACGGGCAGCACCTCAGTGATAACAGATGCAGAGAGAAGAACATGGAAACATCTAGCCGAAAGCAGGGGCTTCTCAGCCAACACCGAGGCTGGTGGAAGAGAAAATTCCAAGGACCGAGAAATGCAAAGCAGAGGCTGTACATCACTGGGAAAAATGCAGGGAACAGAAAAAACCAAGTTCATCTCATCGAGCCAATAATATTTACAGCCTGTGGGCAGTGCCAAAATATTTCAGGAAATGCCAATGCCTTTCTTTGTAAAGCAAGGCCAAGAGTAATATTTAAACACAGCACAAATAAATCACCGGGGGGAACAGGCGAATGAATCCACATTTCCTCACTCTGCTTTACAAAGGATCTTAACCTCAAGATTCACGGTCAAGGTAGAACTCCCTTCCCTTTCCAAAATTAAAGATTCGCTATCTAATGTTCCAAAGCCAACATTTCTGAGAAGTTTTGGACCATTTTCTGTTAACAGTGAATGGCAATCCGGAATGAATGAAAGTGACGGCCCACAAGAGGGTCAGTTTCATTTCCCATTGTGGCCTCAGCCATCTCCAGCCCATGGAGCCCCAACCACTTCCCTGAATCAGCCAAGCCAACGCTTCCTTCTGAACTGGAATGAGGCATGATGGGCAAGATAAAGGCAAAAGGCAAACCACACTTTCCCTCCTCCGAGCGGTACCTGTTCAGGCTTCAGCCCAGGCGGGACCCAGGCGTACTCCTCCAAGGCGCAGCCCGAGTCGTCGTCCGAGGTCGAGTTCCTCTGGAAGTCAAACATGAGTTTGCTGACGGTCTTCTCCATCTCCAGGGGCATCACCGTCACCATGTGCTCCTCCTGAGGGCACTTGCAGTGCAGGCAGATCTTCCTGCAAGCAGCAAAGGCGGGAGGTGAGGGGAAGGCCAAAACCCCCATTTTTTTTCCACTGGCCTGCCAGTCCCCAGCCCTTGGATCCCAAATTATATAAACACATTCCTTGGCAACTGCTCTTTGGCAAAAGCATCTAAGGGAGCAGAGCACAGCACGCCTGACTCTGTAGATGGCACGCAGCGCGCATGTGCAGACACCGTGGAAGGTCAGAGACCCCCACGCAAGCATGCCAAGGATGTTTAAACACGGACCCCAACCTTTCCTTCTAAATCAGTTCCCCAAGAGGAATGTCAAAATGTTTTTTATTTTAGCAGGTATAACCCTGGAGAAAGACCATGACCACAATTTCCTTGACTGTAACAGTAATTACATAGACATAATACATATGCTGACCAGAAATATTACCAGTAGACTTAACAAATGCGGACAACATACCATTTTTATAAAAGGTTCTTAGACCTTGGAAAATGAACGTGGTTTTAAAAAGAACTGCAGGTGAGATTTTCTTTAAGAAGAGAAAAATATTTTCCCCATTAAACAAATCTGGGCCTACGATTTTACGAGAAAGGCATTTTCATTTCCACTAAAGATCCCTGTAGGTTTGAAATTTTAATTAGAAACCCAAATCTTCCCTAAATTGATTGTTTTTATAATATACAAAGGAATCATGCATGTGAATTCTTTCAAAAGGCAGCAGCCAATGATCAAAATCTCTTCTCCAAATTGAGCATTCCTCTTTAAGGTTACATCTTTCCATTCTCCGTGGCTACACAAATGATGAAGCAATCAAAAGGTTCACTCAACACAAAAGCATGTCTAGCATCCATCAATAAAACAGAAGAAAACAGTGAAGGAGGAAATTTTAATAAAAATAAGCTGTTATATGTATACTCTTATCTTTATGAATAGTCCCAGTAGCACCTTATAAAGGCAACAAAGAGTCCATCATCCTAACCCCACATGTGCCTGATTTTTATTTATTTATTTGGTGCCTGAATTTTTTGATAACAGCTTTGTTAAGATATAATTCATATGCCACAAAACTCACCATTTTAAAGTGGCTTTGATCCCAGACACTTCTACTAATTTGGGGATTTCAGTTACTTTTTTTTTTCAGGATTACTTTATGGTAGAAAATATGTTGAAGAGCAAGTAAGATACCTTTTCTTGCTTTATTCATAGGATTAAATATCACCAATTAACTTCTTGATGCAGAGAAATGGGAACTTTTATTTAATTAATTTATTTTATTTTAGAGAGAGGAAGAGGGGGAGAGAAAGGAGAGAGAAACGTTGACTTGTTATTTGGCTTTTAGTATGTTCACAGAGTTGTGAAACTGTCACTACTGTCTAATTTTAGGACATTTTCATCACCCCCAAAGAAACCCTGTGCACGTAGCAGTCACTTCCCACATTCTGTTCCCCCAGGTCCTGACAACCACTAACCTATTTTCTGTTTCCATGGTTTTGCCTATTCTGGAAATTTCACATAAATGGAATCATACAATATGAAGATTTTTGAAACTGGCTTCTTTAATATAACATGATGTTTTGAAGGGTCATCTATGTTGTAGCATGTGTCAATCCTTCCTTGCCGTTTTATTGAAATATTCTACTGTATATTTTGTTTACCCATTTATCAGCTGGTGGGCATTTGGATTGTTTCCACTTTTTGACCTTTGTGAATTAATGCTGTTCTGAATATCTATGGACACAATTTTGTGTGTGTGTGTGTGTGTGTGTGTGTGTGTGTGTACATATGTTTTCTATTCTCTTGGGTAGATACCCAGGAGTAGAATTGCTGGGTCATATGGTAACTTTAAGCTTAACAATTTGAGGAACTGTTAAACTTTTTTTCAAAAAATATATGTACCATTTTATATTCCTACCATCAATGAATGAGCGTTTCATTTTCTCTGCTTCCTCCCTATACTTGTTATTCTTTCTTTTTGATTATTGCCATCCTAGTGGGTTTGAAGTGGTATCTTACTGTGCTTTAGATGTGCCCTTTTTAAATAGCTAATTATGTTGAGCATCTTTTTCTGTGCTTATTATATCTCTTCTTTGAAAAAATGTCTATTCAAATCCTTAGTCCATTTTTAAATTATTTGTCTTTTATTAAATTGTAAACATTTTATATACATATTTTCTGGATACAAGTCTTTTATCAGATAGTATATGATTTGCAAAAATTTGTCCTCATTATGTAGGTTTTCACTTTCTTGATGATGCCTGTTAAAACACAACTTAAAAAAAAATTTTGATGAAGTCCAAATTATATTTGTTTTCTGTTATCGCTTGCGCTTTAAGTATCATATCTACAAAACCATTGCCTGACTTAGGGTCATAAAGACTTACTCCTATATTTGAGCTAAGAATTTTATGGTTTTAGCTCTTATATGTGGATCTATGTTCCATTTTTAGTTAATTTTCATATATGGCCTGAGGAAGGAGTCCAGATTCATACCCCTGGGGCTATCCAACTGTCCCAGCACCATTTGTTAAAAGTCTATTCTTTCCCCACTGAAGTGTCTTGGCATCCTTCTCAAAAATCAATTGATCATAAGTTTAAAGGTTTATTTCTGGTCTTTCAATTATTCTATTGATCTGTATGTCCATCCTTTTGCCAGTATTACAGTCTTTATTACTGTCGCTTTGTAGTAAGTTTTGAAACTGTGAAGTGAGGGTCCTCCAACATTGTTCCCCTTTTAAAAGGTTGTTTTGATTCTTCTGCATCCCTGGCATTTGCATCATAAAATATAAATTTTAGGATAGTAGCTTGCCAATTTCTGCAAAATGGTCCTGCTGGGAATTTGACAGGGGTTGCATTGAACCTGTACACCAATTTGGAAAATATTACTATCTTAACAATAGTAAGTCTTCCAGTCCATGAACAAAGGATGTCTTTCCATTTACTTCAGTATACTTTAATTTCCTTCAATGCTATTTTGTGGCTTTCTGTTATGCCTTGCACTTCTTGTGTTAAGTTTATTTTTAAGTAATTTATTCCTATTGATACCATTGTCAATGAAATTGTTTGCTTCGTTTCATTTTCTAGATTGTTACTGTATAGAAACACAAATGATATTTGTGCATTGATGTTACATCATACCATCTTGCTGAACTTGCTTATTAATTCTAAGAGTGTGTGTGTTTCCTTAGGATTCCCCGTAGCCCAGATCTGCGAGTAGAGACGGTCTTGTTCCTTTCTTTCCCGTCTGAGGTCTTTCTCTGTCCTTGTCTTGCCTCATTGCCTTGAGCACACTGGCGACTGGAAGTGGCATGTGTGGGCATCCTGGTCGGCTCCTGATCTTCAGGGAAAGCAGCCAGTCTCTCGCCATCAAGTATGACTTAGCTGTGGGCTTTCTGTAGACGCCCTTTATCAAATTGAAGAGTTTCCTGCTACACTAGTTTGTTGATTGTTGTTGTTTTTATTCACAAAGGGTGTTGGGTTTTGAATGCTTTTTTAGCATCCACCGAGGTGGCCAGTAGGTTTTTGTCCTTAATCTATGAATGTCGTGTGCCTGAATGTCGACACCCAAATGTTCCGAGGAAACAAAATCGGCTTAATCCAGCCGAATTAGGCTTGTCATGGTCTCCCACATCCTGCTTTTTGTCAGATGGAAAATACAACAGACAGAATGCACACGCGGGTCTGGTTTGCATCTCCAAACTCAAAGATGTTTAATCCTCACCCTCGCTGTTCCTTTTAGAAACAGTCAGAGCTCATTTTAATAGTAACTAATTAATCAGCTACTTTAAAGAAGTCAGGGGTTTGGGGAAGTCGTCAGGTTTTTAATTTTTTTTTTCTTCTTAAAATTTTTATGCCAGCTTATGACTAAAGAAAAAATGTTTTCGTGTACTGGTATTTAAGCAAATTTAGAAAGTTCTTTGGCAACTAACAGTTTTTACTGGAAAGTCATACTTTAAAAAAAAAAGGTAGAGGATTTTTTTAAAACCAAATTCAGATTCTAGAATATTCCTCAGTGAAACTTATTCAGCAATGCAGGGAAGAGTACAATCTTTAATGCTGGACGGATGTGAGCTTCAGGAGAAGGGAAAAGGTAAGGAGAGCCACAGGATTATGGAACCAGTTCCAGAGCGAGTCTCACTGAGGAGAAGCGTGAGCACAAAAGGAAGGGGCGAGGCCGAGGGCCCCATTTAGTCTCTCATCAAATAACGGTCAAGCCCCTACCATGTGCCAGGCACTGCATCAGGCTCTTGGGATGCCAACCAAAACACAGACCCCTGCCCTCGTAGACCCTACATTATTAGAAGCGACAAGCATACCATATGCAAGAAACATAACAGGCTGCACACCAAGAAAGACAATCCCACCCCCCTTTCCAAAGGCTCAGAGAGGTTGAGCAATATGTTCAAAGTCAGCCCCCAACAGAGATTCAAAGGAGGATCTGATTCCTGAACAAAACCAATTCCTTATAGACAGCATCCCTGATTCCAAGAATACACTTTTTTAAAAACAAACAAACACGTTTTTATTGATTTTTCAAGTCTTTTATCAGATAGTATATGATTTGCAAAAATTTGTCCTCATTATGTAGGTTTTCACTTTCTTGATGATGCCTGTTAAAACACAACTTAAAAAAAAATTTTGATGAAGTCCAAATTATATTTGTTTTCTGTTATCGCTTGCGCTTTAAGTATCATATCTACAAAACCATTGCCTGACTTATGGTCATAAAGATTTACTCCTATATTTGAGCTAAGAATTTTATGGTTTTAGCTCTTATATGTGGATCTATGTTCCATTTTTAGTTAATTTTCATATATGGCCTGAGGAAGGAGTCCAGATTCATACCCCTGGGGCTATCCAACTGTCCCAGCACCATTTGTTAAAAGTCTATTCTTTCCCCACTGAAGTGTCTTGGCATCCTTCTCAAAAATCAATTGATCATAAGTTTAAAGGTTTATTTCTGGTCTTTCAATTATTCTATTGATCTGTATGTCCATCCTTTTGCCAGTATTACAGTCTTTATTA